GGAGGAGGGAGGGTTGGGAGAATGAGGGAGAGCATTGGGAGGAGAAGGAGAGGAGAAAGGAGGTGGAGTGGAGAGCGTTGGGAGAGTGAGGGAGGTTTGGGAGGGTGAGGGAGAGCGTTGGGAGAGTGGGAGGAGAGCGTTGAGAGGGTGAGGGAGAGCGTTGGAGAGTGAGGGAGGTGGAGGAGGGGAGGGGTGAGGGAGAGTGAGGGAGAGCGGTGGGAGGTGCCAGTAGCAGCAGGGTGTAACGCTGTTGAGACGTTCACTTGTTTATACTGTACATATATACCAGCTGGTCACTTGAGCGGGTGATGGGGGGAGAGGGGGTGATGGGGAGGAGAGGGGGATGGGGGGGGGGGGGGGGGGGGTGATGGGGGGAGAGGGGTGTGGGGGGAGAGGGTGGGGGAGGGGGTGATGGGGGGGGGGGTGATGGGGGGAGGGTGATGGGGGGGGGTGATGGGGGAGGGAGGGGGATGGGGGGGGGGGTGAGGGGGGGGGAGGGGGTGAGGGGGAGGGGGGTTGGGGGGGGGGATGGGGGAGGGGGTGGGGGAGGGGGGGATGGGGGGGGGTGTGGGGAGGAGAGGGGGATGGGGGGGGTGGGGGAGGGGGTGATGGGGGGAGAGGGGTGATGGGGAAGAGGGGGTGATGGGGGGAGAGGGGGTGATGGGGGGAGGAGAGGGGTGATGGGGGAGGAGAGGGGTGATGGGGGGAGGAGAGGGGTGATGGGGGGAGGAGAGTTGGGTCATGGGGAGGAGAGGGGGTGATGGGGGAGGAGAGGGGTCATGGGGGGGAGGAGAGGGGTCATGGGGGAGAAGTTTATGAGGAGAGGAGGTCAGGGGGAGGAGAGGGGTGAGGAGAGTTGGGTCATGGGGGAGGAGAGGGGGTCATGGGGAGGAGGAGAAGGAGGTCGGGGGGAGGAGCAGGAGGTCGGGGGAGAGGAACAGGAGGTCAGGGGGGAAGAGAGAGGAGGAGGAGGTCAGGGGGAGAGGAGAGGTGGGGGAGGAGGAGGTGGTGAGGGGGGTCTTGGGGGGGTTATGGTAGTAATTTGGCAGGAGTCTCAAGGAGTTATCAGGTCGTGGTTAGGGGAGGTACTGGGCGGTGGGTGGGGGTGGGTGGGTGGGTGGGCGGGGTTAGTGGGACAGTAATGGGTAGGGATGAGGTGATGGGCGGAGTAGATGAGATGTAACGGGGCGGAGCTAGGTTTTGGGGGCAGGGTGTTGGGTGGGATGGGCGTAATCATGGATGAGTTGGGGTGGACGGGGTGGGGTGAGGGAGATGAGTGCAAGATAGATAGAGGTGAGGAAGGAAGGAGGAGAATAGAGGAGGAAGGATAAGATGATTAGAGAAGAGAGAAGATTGGAGGAGGGAGAAGGAGAAGAAAGAGATTAGATAAAGAGGACAGTGGGAGAAGAGGGAGAGAGAGGAGGAGAGAAGAGGATGGAAGAGGATAGAGAGGACAGGTGAGGTACAGAGAGGACAGGTGAGGGTACAGAAGGAGAGCAGGGGAGGCAGGAGGGCAGGTACAGAGAGACAGGTGAGGTGCAGAGGACAGGTGAGGCACAGAGAGGACAGGTGAGGCACAGAGAGACAGGAGGTGCAGAGAGGACAGGTGAGGGCACAGAGGAGAGGGGTGAGGCACAGAGAGGTGAGTCACAAGAGACAGGTGAGGTACAGAGAGGACAGGTGAGGTACAGAGAGGACAGGTGGAGGTGCAGAGAGGACAGGTGAGGTGCAGAGAGGACAGGAGGCACAGAGAGGACAGGTGGAGGTGCAGAGAGGACAGGTGAGGTGCAGAGAGGACAGGTGAGGCGGGGGCAGGTGAGGTCAGGAGAGGACAGGTGAGGTAGCAGAGGACAGGTGAGGGCACAGAGGACAGGTGAGGTACAGAGAGGACAGGGGAGGTACAGAGAGGGACAGGTGAGGCAGGAGAGGGAAGGGAGGTACAGAGAGGACAGGTGAGGGCAGAGAGGACAGGTGAGGTACAGAGAGGACAGGTGGAGGTGCAGAGAGAGGTGGGGAGGTACAGAGAGGACAGGTGAGGTACAGAGAGGGACAGGTGGGAGGTGCAGAGAGGACAGGTGAGGTACAGAGAGGACAGGTGAGGCACAGAGAAAGGACAGGTGGAGGTACAGAGAGGACAGGTGGAGGTACAGAGAGGGCAGGTGAGGTACAGAGAGACAGGGGTGAGGTACAGAGAGGACAGGTGAGGTACAGAGAGGACAGGTGGGAGGTACAGAGAGGAGGTGGGGAGGACAGAGAGGACAGGTGAGGTACAGAGAGGGCCAGGTGAGGCAGAGAGACAGGTGAGTACAGAGAGGACAGGTGAGGCACAGAGAGGACAGGTGAGGTGCAGAGAGGGACAGGTGAGGTACAGAGAGGACAGGTGGAGGTACACAGAGGAGTGGGGTGAGGTGCAGAGAGGGACAGGTGAGGTACAGAGAGGGGACAGGTGAGGCACAGAGAGGACAGGTGAGGTACAGAGAGGACAGGTGGGAGGTACAGAGAGGGCAGGTGAGGCCAGAGAGGACAGGGGGAGGTAGAGAGGAAGAGGAGCAGAGAGGACAGGTGAGGCAGGAGGACAGGGGAGGCACAGAGAGGACAGGTGGAGGTCAGAGAGGACAGGTGAGGTTCAGAGAGGACAGGTGAGGTACAGAGAGGACAGGTGGAGGTACAGAGAGGACAGGGAGGCACAAGAGAGGACAGGTGAGGCAGCAGAGAGGACAGGTGAGGTACAGAGGACAGGTGAGGTACAGAGAGACAGGTGAGGTACAGAGGAGGACAGGAGGGAGGGGTGGGGGAGGTACAGAGAGGACAGGGGAGGTAAGAGAGAGGACAGGTGAGGTACAGAGAGGACAGGTGAGGTGCAGAGAGGGACAGGTGAGGTACAGAGAGGACAGGGTGGAGGTACAGAGAGGACAGGTGAGGTACAGAGAGGGGACAGGAGGTACAGAGAGGACAGGTGAGGAGGGGAGGAGGTACAGAGACAGGGGTGGAGGTACAGAGAGGACAGGTGAGGTACAGAGGACAGGTGGAGGTACAGAGAGGACAGGTGAGGCACAGAGAGGACAGGTGAGGTACAGAGAGGACAGGTGAGGCACAGAGAGACAGGTGAGGCACAGAGAGGAGGTGGGAGGTACAGAGAGGACAGGTGAGGTCCAGAGAGGACAGGGGTGAGGCACAGAGAGGACAGGTGAGGTACAGGAGAGGACAGGTGAGGTACAGAGAGGTCAGGGGAGAGACAGGGAGAGGTCAGGGGAGTCAGAGAGGACAGGTGAGGGTCAGAGAGGACAGGTGAGGTACAGAGAGGAGGTGGAGGCTGGGGAGGACAGGTGAGGTTCAGAGAGGACAGGTGAGGCTCAGAGAGGACAGGGGTGAGGTACAGAGAGGACAGGTGAGGTACAGAGAGGACAGGGTGGAGGCCAGAGAGGACAGGTGAGGTACAGAGAGGAGAACAGAGAGGACAGGTGAGGCACAGAGGAGGACAGGTGAGGTGTAGAGAGGACAGGTGGAGGCACAGAGAGGACAGGTGAGGTACAGAGAGGACAGGTGGAGGTACAGAGAGGACAGGGGAGGTCGGAGATAGAGGGCTGGAGAGAGGACAGGTGGGAGGCACAGAGAGGACAGGTGAGGTACAGAGAGGGACAGTGAGGCAGGAGGTACAGAGAGGACAGAGGCAGGGGACAGGTGAGGTACAGGGACAGGGAGGGCAGAGAGGACAGGGGAGGTGCGAGGGACAGGTGAGGCACAGAGAGGACAGGTGAGGCACAGAGAGGACAGGAGGTAGCAGAGAGGACAGGTGAGGTACACAGAGGGACAGGTGAGGCAGAGGGACAGGGGGCAGAGGGGAGGGAGGTACAGAGGGACAGGTGAGGTGCGGGAGAGGACAGGTGAGGTACAGAGGGACAGGTGAGGCACAGAGAGGGACAGGTGGGGAGGTACAGAGAGGACAGGTGAGGTACAGAGAGGAACAGGTGGAGGTTCAGAGAGGTGGAGGTCCAGAGAGGACAGGTGAGGTACAGAGAGGACAGGAGGTACAGAGAGGACAGGTGAGGGACAGAGGAGGCAGGTGAGGCAGAGGACAGGGTGGAGGCAGAGAGGGACAGGAGGCAGAGGGAAGGTGGAGGCAGAGAGGACAGGTGAGGTTCAGAGGACAGGTGGGAGGCCAGAGAGGACAGGTGAGGTACAGAGAGGACAGGTGAGGTCAGGAGAGGACAGGTGAGGGGCAGAGAGGACAGGTGGAGGTACAGAGAGGGACAGGTGAGGTACAGAGAGGACAGGTGAGGTACAGAGAGGACAGGTGGGTGAAGAGGGACAGGTGAGGCACAGAGAGGACAGGTGAGGCAGAGAGGACAGGGGAGGCACAGAGAGGACAGGTGGAGGAGAGACAGGTGAGGTTCAGAGAGGACAGTGAGGGTAGGAGAGGACAGGTGAGGCACAGAGGGGACAGGTGAGGTACAGAGGGGACAGGTGAGGTACAGAGAGGACAGGTGAGGTCAGAGGGGACAGGTGAGGTACAGAGAGGACAGGTGAGGCACAGAGGGGACAGGTGAGGTACAGAGGGACAGGTGAGGTACAGAGAGGACAGGTGAGGCACAGAGAGGACAGGTGAGGTACAGAGAGGACAGGTGAGGAAGGTGAGAGGACAGGTGAGGTACAGAGAGGACAGGTGAGGCACAGAGAGGACAGGTGAGGTACAGAGAGGACAGGTGAGGTACAGAGAGGACAGGTGAGGTTCAGAGAGGACAGGTGAGGTTCAGAGAGGACAGGTGAGGTTCAAATAGGCCAGAAGAACATTTTAACTCACATTTTTAAGAATCTTTATTAGTTTACATTTGTGTTTACATTATCTCCAGCCGGTATAAACACCCACGTTGTTTACACCACACCTTTAATAATCCCCCGTTGTTTACCTGCAGTTTACATAATCTCCAGCGAGAGAGGAGTGTTGTACTATATGTTCTGTTACCAAGGCAGCGATGTTCACTCGCTGTAGACAAGAGGACCTAGACTTGTTGACTGTTGACACAAGGAGGACCTAGACTTGTTGACTGTTGACAAGAGGAGGACCTAGACTTGTTGGACTGTTGACGAGAGGAGGACCCAGACTTGTTGACTGTTGACAGAGGAGGACCTAGACTTGTTGACTGCTGAACGAGAGACCTAGACTTGGACTGCTGACGAGAGGAGACCCAGACTTGTTGCTGACACGAGGAGGACCTGGACTTGTTGACTGTTGACAGAGGAGACCTAGACTTGTTGACTGTTGACGAGAGGAGGACCCAGATCTGTTGACTGCTGACGAGAGGAGGACCTAGACTTGTTGACTGCTGACAAGAGGAGGACCCAGACTTGTTGACTGTTGACGAGAGGAGGACCTAGATTTGTGACTGCTGACAAGAGGAGGACCAACTGTTGACTGTTGACGAGAGGAGGACCTAGACTTGTTGACTGTTGGACGAGGAGGACCTAGACTTGTTGACTGTGGACAAGAGGAGGACCTAGACTTGTTGACTGTTGACAAGTGGAGGACCTGGACTTGTTGACTGTTGACAAGAGGAGGACCTAGACTTGTTGACTGTTGACAGAGGAGGACCTAGACTTGTTGACTGTTGACAAGAGGAGGACCTAGACTTGTTGACTGCTGACAAGAGGAGGACCCAGACTTGTTGGGATATTACGCGGGGACCTAGACTTGTTGACTGTTGGACAAGAGAGGACCCAGAATTTGTTGGACTGCTGACAAGTGGAGGACCCAGACTTGGGACTGTTGACGAGAGAGACCTAGACTTGTTGACTGTTGACAAGAGGAGGACCTAGACTTGTTGACTGCTGACAAGAGGAGGACCTAGACTTGTTGGATGTTGACAAGAGGAGGACCTAGACTTGTTGAGCTGACAAGAGAGGACCCAGATTGTGACTGTTGACAAGTGGAGGACCTAGGACTTGTTGGATCGTTGACAAGAGAGGACCTAGACTTGTTGACTGTTGACAAGAGGAGGACCTAGACTTGTTGGATCAAGCTGACAAGGGAGACCTAGACTGTTGGCTGTTGACAAGAGGAGACCTAGACTTGTTGACTGTTGACAAGAGGAGACCTGACTTGTTGACTGTTGACAAGGAGGACCCAGACTTGTTGACTGTTGACGAGAGGACCTAGACTTGTTGGACTGTTGACAAGAGGAGGACCTAGACTTGTTGACTGTTGACGAGAGGAGGACCCAGACTTTGCTGAGATTGCCGATGAGGAGGACCAGACTTGTTGACTGTTGACGAGAGGACCTAGACTTGTTGGACTGTTGACAAGAGAGACCTAGACTTGTTGACTGCTGACAAGAGGACCAGACTTGTTGACGGACAAGAGGACCTAGACTTGTTGAAGCTGACAGAGACCTAGACTTGTTGATTGCGGCAAGAGGAGGACCTAGACTTGTTGACTGTTGACAAGTGGAGGACCTAGACTTGTGGACTTGTTGACAAGAGGAGGACCTAGACTTGTTGGACTGTTGACAAGAGGAGGACCTAGACTTGTTGACTGGGCTGACAAGAGGAGGACATAGACTTGTTGGACTGCTGACAAGAGGAGGACCTAGACTTGTTGACTGTTGACAAGAGGAGGACCTAGACTTGTTGACTGTTGACCAGGAGGAGGACATAGACTTGTTGACTGTGACGAGAGGAGGACCTAGACTTGTTGGACTGTTGACAAGAGAGGACCTAGACTTGTTGATCGCTGACAAGAGGAGGACCTAGACTTGTTGACTGTCTGACGAGAGGAGGACCTAGACTTGTTGACGTGTTGACAAGAGGAGGACCTAGACTTGTTGACTGTTGGACAAGAGGAGGACCTAGACTTTGTTAATTGTTGACAAGAGGAGGAACCTAGACTTGTTGACTGCTGACAAGAGGAGGACCTAGACTTGTTGACTGTTGACGAGAGAGGAGGACCTAGACTTGCTGACTGTTGACGAGAGGAGGACATAGACTTGTTGACTGTTGACAAGAGGAGGACCTAGACTTGTTGACTGTTGACAAGAGGAGGACCTAGACTTGTTGACTGTTGACAAGAGGAGACCTAACTTGTTGGATGCTGACGAGAGGAGGACCCAGACTGCTGGATGTTGACAAGAGGGGACCTAGACTTGTTGACTGTTGACAAGAGGAGGACCTAGACTGTTGACTGTTGACAAGAGGAGGACCTAGACTGTTGACTGCTGGAGGAGGACCTAGACTTGTTGGACTGTTGACGAGAGGAGGACCTAGACTTGTTGACTGTTGACAAGAGGAGGACCTAGACTTGTTGGACTGCTGACACGAGGAGGACCTAGACTTGTTGACTGTAGACGAGAGGAGGACCTAGACTTGTTGACTGTTGACACGAGGATGACATAGACTTGTTGACTGTAGACAAGAGGAGGACCTAGACTTGTTGGATCAGCTGACAAGAGGAGGACCTAGACTTGTTGAATGTTGACAAGAGGAGACCTAGACTTGTTGACTGCTGACGAGAGGAGGACCTTGACTTGTTGACTGTTGACACGAGGAGGACCTAGACTTGTTGACTGTTGACAAGAGGAGGACCTAGACTTGTTGACTGTTGACAAGAGGAGGACCTAGACTTGTTGACTGTTGACGAGAGGAGGACCTAGACTTGTTGACTGTTGACAAGAGGAGGACCTAGACTTGTTGACTGTTGACAAGAGGAGGACCAGACTTGTTGACTGTTGACAAGAGGAGGACCTAGGACTTGTTGACTGTTGACAAGAGAGGACCTAGACTTGTGACTGTTGACGAGAGGAGGACCTAGACTTGTTGACTGTGGACGAGAGGAGGTAGGACTTGCTGGACTGTTGACACGAGGAGGACCTAGACTTGGGATTGCTGGGACGAGAGGAGGACCTAGGACTGTTGACTGTTAAAGAGAGGACCTAGACTTGTTGACTGTTGACGAGAGGAGACTAGACTTGTTGACTGTTGACAAGAGGAGGACCCAGACTTGTTGACTGTTGACAAGAGAGGACCTAGACTTGTACTGTTGACGAGAGGAGGACCTGACTTGTTGGACTGTTGACAAGAGGAGGACCTAGACTTGTTGACTGTTGACGAGAGGAGGGATGGGCTTGACTGTTGACGAGTGGAGGACAGACTTGTTGACTGTTGACGAGAGGAGGACCTAGACTTGACTGTTGGCAGGGACCTAGACTTGTTGACTGTTGACGAGAGGAGGACCTAGACTTGTTGACTGTTGACAGAGGAGGACCTAGACTTGTTGACTGTTGACAAGAGGACTTGTTGACTGTTGACAAGAGGAGGACCTAGACTTGTTGACTGTTGACAAGAGGACCTAGACTTGTTGATTGTTGACGAGAGGAGGACCTAGACTTTGACTGTTGACAGAGGAGGACCTAGACTTGTTGGTGACTGTTGACGGAGGACCTGGACTTGTTGACTGTTGACGAGAGGAGGACCAGACTTGTTGACTGTTGACGAGGAGGAGGACCTAGACTTGTTGACTGTTGACGGAGGAGGACCTAGACTTGTTGACTGTTGACGAGAGGAGGACCTAGACTTGTTGACTGTTGACAGAGGAGGACCTAGACTTGTTGACTGTTGACAAGGGAGGACCTAGACTTGTTGACTGTTGACAAGAGGAGGACCTAAGACTTGTTGACTGTTGACAAGGAGGACCCTGACTGTTGACGGGAGGACCTCATGGTGACTGTTGACGAGAGGAGGACCTAGGCTGTGACTGTTGACGGGGAGGACCTAGACTTGTTGACTGTTGACGAGAGGAGGACCTAGACTGTTGACGGGAGGGAGGACCTGAGTGACTGTTGGACAGGGGACCTAGACTTGTTGACTGTTGACAAGTGAGGACCCTGGGAGCTGACGGAGGAGACCTGGACTTGACTGTTGACAGAGTGGGACCTGGACTTGTTGACTGTTGACAAGAGGAGGACCTAGATCTGGACATACTGGATTCCATTACGTGATCCTATTACACGTGGGAGTCTATTACGTGGACCTTATTACAGCTGGTCGCTAACCTGGGGCCCAGGTGTGGAAGGCTTATGTGATGTCCTGTTGTCAAAGTGGGTCCTATTGACTTAAAGTGATCCTGTTGTCTTAAGTGTTCCTGTTGATAAGTGTTCCTGTTGTCTTAGTGTCCTGTTGTCAAAGTGTCCTGTTGACGAAGTGGTGAGGTTGTTGTTTTTGTTGACTAAGTGTTTCCTGTTGTCTTAAAGTGTTTCCTGTTTGTCTTAAGTGTTTCCTGTTGATCAAAGTGTTTCCTGTTGTCTTAAGTGTTTCCTGTTGTCTTAAGTGTTTCCTGTTGTCAAGTGTTCCTGTTGACAAGTGTTTCCTGTTGTCTTAAGTGTTTCCTGTTGACAAGTGTTCCTGTTGACTAAGTGTTTCCTGTTGACTTAAGTGTTTCCTGTTGACAGTGTTCCCTGTTGTCTTAAGTGTTTCCTGTTGTCTTAAGTGTTTCTTGTTGTCTTAGTGTTTCCTGTTGTCTTAAGTGTTCCTTTTGTCTTAAGTGTTTCCTGTTGACTTAAGTGTTCCTGTTGTCTTAAGTGTTTCCTGTTGTCTTAAGTGTTTCCTGTTCTTAGTGTTGTTGTCAAGTGTTCCTGTTGTCGTGTTTCCTGTTGTGTTTTGTTTCCTTTGATGTTCCTGTTCCTGTTTCTGTTGACAAGTGTTCCTGTTGACTTAAGTGTTTCCTGTTGTCTTAAGTGTTTCCTGTTGACTTAAGTGTTTCCTGTTGTCTTAAGTGTTTCCTGTTGTCTGGGTTTCCTGTTGACTTAGTGTTCACTATGTTCTGTTGTCTTGTTTCTGTTGACTTGGTTCCTGTTGACTTAAGTGTTTCTGTTGACTTAAGTTTTCCTGTTGACTTATGTTCCTGTTGTCTTAAGTGTTCCTGTTGTCTTAAGTGTTTCTTGTTGTCTTAAGTGTTTCCTGTTGTCTTAAGTGTTTCCTGTTGTTCTTGTTTCTCTGTTGACTTAAGTGTTCTCGTTGTCTTAAGTGTTTCCTGTTGACTTAAGTGTTCCTGTTGACTTAAGTGTTCCCTGTTGTTTTAAGTGTTTCCTGTTGTCTTAAGGTTTTCGTTGTCTTAAGTGTTTCCTGTTGTCTTAAGTGTTTCCTGTTGTCTTAAGTGTTTCTGTTGACTTAAGTGTTCCTGTTGTTGACTGTGTTTCCTGTTGTCTTAAGTGTTTCCTGTTGTCTTAAGTGTTTCCTGTTGACTTAAGTGTTCCCTGTTGTCTTAAGTGTTTCCTGTTGACTTAAGTGTTCCCTGTTGACTTAAGTCCTGTTGACTTAAGTCCTGTTGACTTAAGTGTTCCCTGTTGTCTTAAGTGTTTCCTGTTGACTTAAGTGTTCCCTGTTGACTTAAGTGTTTCCTGTTGTCTTGTGTTTCCTGTTGACTTAAGTGTTCCCTTGTTGCTTAATGTTTCCTGTTGACTTAAGTGTTCCCTGTTGACTTAAGTGTTTCCTGTTGTCTTAAGTGTTTCTGTTGTCTTAAGTGTTTCGTTGTCTTAAGTGTTTCTGTTGACTTAAGTGTTCCCTGTTGACTTAAGTGTTTCCTGTTGTCTTAAGTGTTTCCTGTTGTCTTAAGTGTTTCCTGTTGACTTAAGTGTCTCTGTTGTCTTAAGTGTTTCCTGTTGACTTAAGTGTCTCTGTTGACTTAAGTGTTTCCTGTTGACTTAAGGTTTCCTGTTGACTTAAGTGTTTCCTGTTGACTAAGTGTTCCCGTTGACTTAAGGTTTCCTGTTGTCTTAAGTGTTTCCTGTTGACTTAAGTGTTCCTGTTGACTTAAGTGTTTCCTGTTGACTTAAGTGTTTCCTGTTGTCTTAAGTGTTTCCTGTTGACTTAAGTGTTCCCTGTTGTCTTAAGTGTTTCCTGTTGACTTAAGTGTTTCCTGTTGACTTAAGTGTTTCTGTTGTTTCTAAGTGTTTCCTGTTGACTTAAGTGTTTCCTGTTGACTTAAGTGTTTCCTGTTGACTTAAGTGTTTCCTGTTGACTATGTTTCTGTTGACTTAAGTGTTTCCTGTTGTTCAAGTGTTTCCTTAGCTGACTTTGACAGATATTGTCAAGCGCCGAGGAAAGGTTTACGCCACACACATATGGGGGGTAGTTATTATATGGAGGAGAGAGAGAGAGAGAGAGAGAGAGAGAGAGAGAGAGAGAGAGAGAGAGAGAGAGAGAGAGACTTGAGGTACAGTTTCTCAGCCACTCCCACGCCCTGACGTGTTGAATATCAACACAAACACGCCTCGCCTCCCTGCCTCCATAATCCCTGGTGTGTGTGTGTGTGTGTGTGTGTGTGTGTGATGTGACAACACACAGTACAAATAAACATCCCCAGCAGTAAGGTTAAGAGCGGCTTCCCCTGGCCACCCACCACGATAAAGGACGCTTCTTGTAAACGCCACACACAGTATATGGCACTTTGGTCTCAGATGACACCATAATCTGGGGTGGAGGTGGGTGGTGTGGGTGGAGGGTGGGTATGTGGGTGGAGGGTGGGTATGTGGGGTGGAGGTGGGTGTGTAGGAGGTTGGGTATGTGGGAGGAGGTTGGGTATGTGGGAGGAGGTTGGGTGGGAGGAGGTTGGGTATGTGGGTGGAGGTTGGGTAAGGGGTTGGTAAGGGGGTGGGAGTGTGGGTGTTGTGGGAGGAGGGTGGGGTATATGGGTGGAGGGGTAAGGGTGGGTGGAGGGTGGGTATGTGGGTGGAGGGTGGGTATGTGGGGTGGAGGGTGGCTTTGTGGTTGGAGGTTGGGTGTAATGTTGACGAGTAGATGTATAGGGTTAGGTTGGGTTAGGTTAGGTGAGTAGCCTAGAATCTCTACCCCTAGGCGTATCTACCGGGAGGGAGGGAGGGGGAGGGAGGGAGGGAAGGAGGGAGGAGGGAAGGAGGGGGAGGGGAGGGAGGGGGAGGGAAGGGGGAGAGAGAGGGAGGGAGGGAGGAGGAGCACATGTTTGAATATATAATCAGATTCGGTCTCATATTCCACCGATATAAACTAGTAATTGTTCTTCATTAATCTCAATCTAACTTCATGTAGAGAAACCAGAATCTGAAGACAAAATATCGTATTCTTAGGGCCTTTAGATCAGGAGGCTTCAGAAGGTTAAGGGCCCCACTGACCTAGAGTGCTGTGAGGGCTTTTGGGGTACAAGTGATGTATTTACCTAAGTTTCCCTAGGGCTGTGGGATCTTGGTGAGGGGAGGGGTGTTATGAGGCTGTGGGGTCTTGGTGGGGGGGAGGGGGTTATGAGGCTGTGGGATCTGGTGGGGGTCTAGTGTAGTGAGGAGAGAGAGATTGTGGATGGCCTGGTGGAGGTGTTGGGTGGAGGCCGTAACTCACACCCTAAGTGACCTGGAAGGAGGTGTGGGTGTATCCTGGGGGAGGGGGAAGATACTCGACACACCCATTTACAGAGCTGCGGGTGGTGGTGGTGGCCAGAGGAAGCATTGTGTCGCTGGTAGCCTGAGGAAGGATTGTGGTGGCTGTAGTCTTGTGATTGTTATGTAGCCTCTGATAACGACCATGGTAGTGATGGTAGCCCCAGTAGTAGGTGAACTGAAGTAGAGTGAGAATTGAATCTATTATCACCACATCAGGAACATAAACTCCCTCCACTTTAACCTTTGACCTAGTTCCCCATAAGCTGGTCAAGGTCACAAGTGGACTGTATAGGGCGGGTATCGTGTCCTGTACCTGTAGCAACTTAGAGGTTAGTGACGAAAAGCGGAATAATGATTGATGTGACCGTAGAGTTTGATTCTGTACTACAAAGAAGAATTAAGAAGTGTTTGTTTACCTACTGTATTGCACAGCACACACACACACACACACACACACACACACACACACACACACACACACACACACACACACACACACACATTTCATCTACCTTATTGCCCCTCACCCATCAAAGAAAACGCCCTCAAAAAATGGACAGAAGACTTCAAAGAAAACGTGGGGCAGACGAGGGGGTAAACTTAGATATTACCGCGGGGAAGCAGTCAACGTCCTCACTTATCATGACTACCTGTGTTACTTGTTTACCCTTTGTATTGTATGGCTTCCTGTGCTTATGTATATGTGAGAGAGAGAGAGAGAGAGAGAGAGAGAGAGAGAGAGAGAGAGAGAGAGAGAGAGAGAACACTACCATGAACGGAAAAACCTCACATCGGGGAAGACAAGAACGTTACCTGCATAATATATTGTCTTTATACAATGAATCACTCTTTGTGTTATAACTTTGCTGTCAGGGGAAAGACTTAGCATCATATACGTGTCTGTTTACCTGTTCTTCCCAGGTGTCTTGTTAGTAGGGGTGAGTTAGTTGTTAATTAAAGGTGGAGTGTGACGATGGTGTTCATGTATAGGCGCTGTGGGTGGTTATTAGGGAGGTGTTGGTACCTCTTCTTCTCTTCTCTACACATAGCTTCTTTTCTCTTTTCTCTCTCAGCTCGACTTACTGGCTGGATTTGGAAGTCAAGATCTCAGTACCTGGGCATATTTACCCATGGAGCGGACGGGAGAGCCATTGCAGTCAATGGTAGTGTTATGGTAGTCCTCATGGTAACTAGTGGGGTGGGTAGTCAGTGTTGCTGGTATGGTAGTGTCTGGATGTTTATCTTCGTAGTTATAGGAGATGGTATGATATATCAT